CAATTTTTAAAATTCACAGAAGTCTTATATTTATCTTTCAACAAATAAACCTACATACGTTTGGAGAAATCATAAATAATAGATATTTGTTATCACCAAAAGTGGGATTGCTCTCCGGACATCACAAATCTATATGAATGCATTCTAACACTCTAGATGTCTTGTGTTTGCTAGATGCAAATAACATCCTACAATGTTTACCAAGCCATGATAATCGCAAATGGCATATCGGCACCTGATCATTTCCAAACACACCCATATCGTTAAAATACTTAAGTCCCTTAGCATTGACATGAGCTAATCTATTATACGACTTCTGCGTGATCGATGTCGGTGATAGTGGAATTTAAACGACCCATCACCTCGGCATGCATGATGTATATGCCATCATTCCTAGCAGCCTTAAAGGCTCTAAATACTCCCTTAAAAACTAAGGAATAACGTGGATTAAAAACTTTCTGATTAAAAATTGTTTGTTGTACTAAAATTCTTTTCGTTTTTTGTTGTCAAATAAAAAAGTCACATTTACCACTAAAAACACCCAAGTTAAAACGGTGTGCTAAAATCTTAACGAATAAGATAACTAGCACAAAAATAACCTTTACAGAGACAACCACACAGAAAATGTCCTAAAGGTTGCAAATATATGCCGGTCTAAATTTTAATGATTTTCGTGAGATTTGTGTTCTCGGTCTCAAGGGAATTGTCGGGCAAGTAATGTCTAGGTAACCATTCTAACAACAAATGACTGAGAACAATATGAAATTACGCAACAAGCAATAAAACCACGAAAACGATAATATCAAAAGTAGGCAAATAGTCCTAAAATTCTAGTATCAGGCAAGGTCGCGGCCTTACGGTCACCCCACACTTGTAGAAACCGAAAGAGTTTCAGCTAATTTATCAGAGTGGACCTGTCTATGGTCCGTACAATTGAGAGATGCGAATTTTTAACTAAGGATTCAAGTCCTTATTGGAAATTCAGTAGCAAAAGATTACAAAATAGCACACATTCCAAATCACAGCAATTTTCAAATTTCAATTTCAATTTCATGCAGAGGAAGCTGAGCAACCTTTGTCACAACCAAGCGATCTAACCACTCTGAGACCAATTTGTTGTAATGTGATTCCCAATCAATAGGGATAATCAAAACCCAAAGTCAATTAAATGTAATTAAACAAAGTAAATTGAATTAAATCAATGAAATTGCAAGAATAACATTTCCCTATCGAGATCCTGTTCAGAATCACCAATTGAAAAACAAGGCTCAGATTAACCAAGGCTACAAGGTAACACCACAACACGATTGAACCCGAGAATATCACTCAAACCACTAGGAAATCGTCCATAAGAAGCTCTAAAAAATCGGACAGAAAGCTATTGTGCAAAGGCCGAAAGTATAGTAGAAAATCGAGCACAAACAGGAGCTTGTCGAGGTCGCTTAGCCAACAACTAATACCAACAACAAAGAGTAGAGGAAGCGTGAACAGAAGGTACGAATAACTATAGAGGAAAATCACTCAACTAGGTAAAATAGGATAACAGCAGCCAAGATTGTGTGCGTGTATGTAATATATCTCTAGAGATAGCAATTTTTCCCGCCCCGCCCCAAACGCGTCCCGTTGTCATCACTATATATCTCAATAAGTTAACAAAGTTCACATATATAGGTGACAATTGGGGTGGACCAAATATGGGCCAACGGGTAATAAATGGAACGAGCCCTACTCGTCCCTAATTTCCACGTGTGAGATTCTCAATCTATCTCGATTTCGTGGGCTAACCATGAGTCTATCGTTAATATAAGTGGAAATTACAACCACCCATAATTTTCCGCTTCACAATTCAAAAATAAGATTTA